AAAACGTAGTCTCTAGAAGATGCACTGTTTTAAGACCCTCATGTTGTCTTCATCTACTTAGACCTTAATCCATGGTCTCTGTTCCTAGTTCTGTTTCTTTTGCACACACACCCCCCCACACACACATACCTTCCATCAGTTTAAAGAGGATGTGTCTTCTCTTACCTCTTAGAAAAGTCTCTTTTGCCTCCCTCTTGCAATGTGTTGCTTTTAGACCAGGAAAATAAAAAGAGGAGGAATGGTTTGTGGAATTTCATTAAAAGTTTTATCTTGCATGTAAAACAAAACCTGCCCCTAGCCTTGGTGTTGGTGAGGGCTCCAGACATCCTGTTTTCTGTAATAATGATGCCGCTCTTCCCAGGCACAGTGGTTGAGGGCCTGGTGGGGAGGACAGGCTCTCTGGAGCATCTGTTCTGCAGAGGCTGCTCTGTGGAGAGACAGAATGTTTGGAGGCCATCTGCAAGTATGCAGAACGAAGCAAAAATTTTATTCATCTGATAAAATGAGCAGCTTAGGCAAAGTTTCCAGAATTTTCCCAGCACTCTTTGCAGAGGCCACATTGGCAACAAAGTTGATTCTGCAGTTGCCATTTGGACCTGGCTTGAGCAGCTGTGGTGTGAGGGCGGGGCCTCCTGCCTTTGTTCATTCCAGGGGGCAGGCCTTTCAGTGTGCATTCCACAGGGATGAAGCCACATCGGCCCCATCCCAGGGAGAAGGAGGAGCTAGTGGTTTGACCTGTGGGTTACCAAGTTAGATGTGTTGGAAGATTTTCTTGCTATAGAAAAAATGACAGGGGCTTAAAGTATGGTGGGGAAGGGAGGCAGCCCTGTCCTTGTCCTGCCCAGTGCTGCTAGCAAGGCCGTAGCTGGGAGTGTAGGTCCTAGGCTGCAGGGCTTCTGGGGTTTTGGCTTCTGGAAGTGATGATGACATCACTGGGACTTCTCTCAGGCCCCCTGGCAGCCCTTCCACCCCTACTGTCTCTGCAGTCTTTATTACAAGGATTGCAGACAGATTGGTTTGACCTGGTCAGTTATTATTTTCTGTTTTAACAGTTGGACTTGAATGTTTTTAACTGAGTCCCACCACTCCTTTTTGAGTAATTTGTGTTGCCAGTCGCACCCTGTGGGGTTTGAAAGCAGCCTGGAGGTACGGAGTCCAAGGAAGTTGAGTAGACTGTTTTGGACATTGGTATGGATGGGTAATGACTTAGTATTTCACTGAAATGTTCATTTCTCTCAAGTCTTTTCTGGCAGAGGATAGTTCTAATTAGCCCCCTTCTCTTATCCAAACACCTTTACCTTTGTCCTAATGAAAGTACTGACTTTCCTCTTTGTCCAGATGCCATTTCTCTAGCTCCATTAATGTGTCATCATTCACAGTTGGAAAACTGTGGCTGTGCTTTTTCATTTTTAGAGAAATGTTTTTACAATACAGAAAAGAGGCTGAGCGCAGTGGCTCACGCCTGTAATCCTAGCACTTTGGGAGGACGAGGGGATGAATCACTCGAGGTCAGGAGTTCGAGACCAGCCTGGCCAACATGGTGAAACCTCGTCTCTACTAAAAATACAATAATTAGCTGGCCAAGGTGGCACATGCCTGTAGTCCCAGCTACTCGGGAAGCTAAGGCAGGAGAATCGCTTGAATGCAGGAGGCGGAGGTTGCAGTGAGCTGAGATTGCACTGCTGCACTCCATCCTGGGCAACAGAGCGAGACTCCAGTCAGAAAAAATAAACTACAGAAAAGGACAGAGAATAATAACTGTCACAAACTCATATATCCATCACTGAGAAGTGGTAATTATCAATATTTTATAGCTTGACTTAAATTTTTTTTTAAATAAAAGAAATAGTTTCTTCATAGCAACGATGGCCCCACTGTCTTCCCCTTCCCCCATTACCATTGTCATGTGTCACGTGCTTCCTTCCCATCTATTCATTCTTTTATTTACACGGACATTCTTTCATTTATCCATGACAAGATGGGAGTATTATTTCGTGCTTCCAGTTTTCGTAAATGGTATCATGGTATATGTATTGTTCCACAACTTTCTTATCTTCGGTTCAACATAAGAATCTGTCATTTTCCTCTTTAAATTCCTCTAATTGTTGAAAGAAAAAAAAAATCTGTCAGAGATCCATATGGACCCAGTTGATACCTCTTTAAAAAGAATCCCAGTATTGGTGTGACTCTAGGCCTTGTCGCTTTGAATTATGCATTTCTTTACTGATAGATATGTATGTTGTTCCCAGGTTTTTGTGGTTTCAGACAGTGCTGCAGTGAACACCTGTTCCCTTGAGCATGTGTGACAGGTTTTCTAGGGCAGTGGTTTTCAAACGTGGTCCCTGGATCGGTAGTGTTGCATCACCTAGGAGCTTGCTGGTTTCTCAGGCCCCACCCGAGACCTCCCTAAATTAGAAACTTCTAGTAGGGGTGGAGGTGCTGATCCATGTTCCAATAAGCAGTCTGGATGGCTCTGATGCTCACTCAGGTTTGAGAACCGCTGCTTTAGGGTTGGCTCTGCGTAACCCTCACCCTGCCTGTTTTTGTTTTTTTGTTAGGAGAATGCTCCCTATGTGCAAAGTTTTGGTTTTTCTTCCCTTTTTAATTAACTCACATCCCAACCCTCCCCCATTTTTGTTCTGCCTGCTTGGTCTCCCAACCTCTGAAGTACCGCTTGGTTTTCCTTTTTCCTTTCCAGGCGTTTCAGTTGGGCCCCACAGAAGCCTCTTACTACTGGGTGTACTGGGTTCCAACTCAATATGTGGATGCAATCAAAGACACTGTGCTGGGGAAATGGCAGTATTTTTGAAAGCACTTTCACCTCTGGCCCAGGAGACTGACCCAAAGTGAAGGACATTGCCGGGAGAGGCCTGCAGCATCCCTGGATTTCAGAGTTCTGGAACTTTGTTCACAAAAAATCTATATTCAATCTAAGGTGATGTGGTGACTGAAGCCAGAGGTGATGTACTTTCACCATTAGCTTAATTTTAACTTAAAATTACCAGTTCCCTTTCTTGCAGTCAGCTTCATACCATTTTTAAAGTCCATACGATGGAAATCAATAAATCTGAATTCCGAACATGTTGTGTGGAATACTCTTAAGTGTGTTTGAGAGTAGATCTGCCAATTATGTTGACAAGGGAATGATCAAAAGCTTTTTTTTTTTTTTTTCTTTTTAGCAGTTTCAATTGAAATATTTTCGTACATCTTTGGTTGCAAACATTTGGACTGCCTTGTGATTAGTTGGGGTTTTTTTTCCCTTTTTTGTATAAAATTGTATGCAAAATGTGGGGGGGTTAGTAAGCCATATATTTCTGTCCATTGATTCAGATTTAATTCTTTCCCTTTTTAATTCTCTTGCTTCCTCAATTTGAGTTTTTGTTTTAAGAACCCAAAGATATCAGTTCCTCTTTTAGTACCTCATCGATGCTTCCTCTCCTGGGCTCCCTCCCGCCGTGCTGCTGCTGCCTGTGAACGCACGGTGGGAGAGGAAGAGCTGCTCGGTCTTGGGCAGGGAGCTCTCACACTTGCTGTGGTGTTCGTTGAGCAGCAGAGTATCTCCCAGTGACTCCTGTCTAAACGTCTTGCCCTTTGGGCCTCAATCTCCAAGGAGTTCCATTGCTGGTTGGATGATTGTCTGCACCCCTCACTGAGCTTGGCCTAGAGGCCCAGCCCGGCATGGTTGTGCCTGGGCTGTGCCTCTCAAAAACCCCAGCTTCCAGGCAGAAGAGGCAGACAGAGGCCTCTTCTAGGAGGAGCCAGGTAGGAGATAGACTATACAGCCATACAGCTGCAGATCCAGATAACCTTCTTTATTTGGAAGTTTTCAAGAAATTCTTAAGCAGTCCAAGGATGATTTCAATTACGCTTCTCCATTGGGTCCTTCTGCTCATCCATTCAGTTCAAGTGTCCTTTATCCCAGGTTCAGAGACGCTGCCTTTCACGAGAAGAAGACATCTGACCCCAGCAGGTTGGCCGTTGTTATTGAACAACGAATGGGATAAATTGCTTTCATGATTAGCTCACCCTCTTCTGGTTTTAGCCCTTCTGTTCTTTGTACATGTGAACTTCTGTCATCTCCTTCTGGCTTGGTTGCCTCTGACAGGAGGGAAAGTCTCTTGGTAAATGATCTCCTTTGTGCTGTTTGCTGTTTCTCTGCTGCCGTCTTTGCAGTTCTCCTCTCACTGGTTGCAGGCTCTCATAGTAAGGTTTGGCGAGAAATGTTCCAAATGTCACATTTTGAATTCTAGGCTGTCACCCCTCATTCTGTGAAACGTATTAGCATGTGTTCGCCCAAGATGACTATTCCTTGTGAGCCAGTTGATGATCTTCTACACCCTTCCCTTCTAAGCCGTAGTTCAGGAATCCAGCCCACATAGCCAGACTCTTCCTTTCTATGGTGTAGTCAATGCCAAGTGATGCATCTAGGCAGGAAAATCTACTCTCTGCTTTTTTGGGGGCAATTAGTACATTTGTGAAGTGCAGCATCCAAGAAACTGCCTGTTTTTCATCCCTTGAAAAAGGAGCGACCATTGCAGCTTTTCTGTCCTTGTCGGCCTGCAGTTCCTGGGGAAAAGAGTGTGTCTGAGCTACTTGTCCAAGCCTCTGTCTGCAGGTGATGGGCTTCGGGGGAAATGAGATGCATTAAGTAGAACATCATCTCGGGTCAGACACTGCCCCTTTTGTTTGCCAATGCCTCAGTCCTAGAGACTTGCCCTGACAGTGCCACATGCCTCCTTTTGATCTCTCAGAGCAGGCGGCTCCATCCCCAGGCTGGCCTGGCTACTCTCCGAGGCCCCTCCACCTGCTCCCCTTTATTGCCCCGTTCTTGTGGCTCACTGGGCCACTTGGCCTCCCTTCTTGCCAGTGACAACGAGCGTTCCATCATCTCCCCGCTCCCCAGGGGCCAACTGCTTCTCACTCAGGCTGGTGTCATTTCAAGAGGACCAAAGCCTGTGTGAGCCTTTTTATTTTCAGTAAAATGGTGCTTTTTTCCTTACTTCGAGATACTATATATAAATAATAATGTAAATGACACCTTTTCGTACGGAGCTGTTTGAGTATTGCTTTACAGAGCTCACTAAATCAGCTTCAACAATCTTGAGCTCTGTGGCTTCCCCCCCTGTCCGCATGGAAGACCTTGCTGGAAGCTCTCGGACAGCAGACATACCACCAGAAGCCACTGGGAGAAGTGTTTGCGATCCGTGTCTGGGCCACAGTAGTTTTCGCTGTTTACTCAGTTCTGTGAGCAGTCTCTTCATATATTTCTTACAGTCCAGAGTGTACTGACTAAATCTGTGTAAGCAAATTGAAATACTCTTTCTCTTAGGTAGCGTCACAGTGTTTTTTTTTCCTCAGGATAATTTCTATACAGTTTCCTCACTGTCAGAGAGGACCGGATCTTTCCCTCACTGTGGCAGGGGGCATGCAGGTGGATAAAGGAAGAGCTGGTTTCCGGAGAGTGACTGTAACAGTGCTGAGTCAAAGCTAGAGATGGGGGTGGTGGCTGTCTCTTAAACGTTGGACACCTCTCGGAGCCTCCTGAGGGGCTTCTTTCTCTTCTAGAATCTGTCCCGTGATCCTCCCGCAGGTTCTAGCTCACAGACGTCATCATGCCCTTCTTTCTTTCCCTGAGGCGCCTTGGTAGAAGAACGTGACCCTGTGAGCCAGGTCTTCATCAGCTCTGCTTCAGATCACAGAACGTAGACAGACTCACGAGTTGCTGGAACTCTTTGGTATTAGGTGTTTGAATCTATAATGGGCCTTTTGCAAGTAGCGTTAGCTCTTTTTAATTGAAGTTGAACTGAGCTAAGGATGCACTTTCTTGTGGACATAGAAGGGGCCCGCGTGAGGCCCTGAGTAGGCTCCTTAGTTGCTGCTTTACCTGATGAGGGCCAAAGAGATTACCTCTGCCTCGTTGCCATGTCTCAGAAAAGTTGCCATATTTCACCCAGAAGGGGCTCGTTTTCCTCTTACTCTTACTTTAACCATGTGCCTGGAGGAGCCTTTCTGGGCTCTTGCACTTCCCCAGCCTTTCTTTGCCAGGGGCAGAGAAGGGAAAAGGGGTAGATTGAGTGTGCCAAGGGCCGTGCAAGGGCAGGCTTGCTTTCCACCCATCTGCTGAGGGAGCCCTTTCCTCTCGCTCCTTGCCTCTGTTCACACCTGTTGTCTTGGAAAAGGATGGTCCCTTTGTCTTAAGGCTTTGTGATAAAGTCATCTCCAGTTAGGATCGGCACCTGTTTCCTTCGTAATAGTGCCTGGCGGCCTTTCTGAAGTTACAGGTGGTCGGGAACCCTCTCAGATGCAGAACATCTGGTAGATTGACCTGCCAGGCTGGGTGGTTCTACTGCTTTCTCAATTTCTAAGAACCTTTTTTTTCCTTAAAGAGTTCTGCAGAATTATTTGACAATATATGTGAGTACCATGTTTCCTTGTGGTGTACGCTCTGTTCTGGTTTCTGTTTTTAAATCAAATGCCTGTTTGGGAGGAGATGAACGTATTTAGTCTATTAGATTTGCGCTGCTGGATTTTTTTTTTTAAAGTGTAACCTTGACTAGCTGTCTTATTGTTTATCCTGTAAGATTAGTCTATCGATTAAAGTTTGATAATTAACTGCGTCTCTTTTTCCTTCCAATTCTTCAAGCACCTAATTCACACTGGGGATTAACCAACATTTGGAATTGGGGCCAAAGCCATTTCTTTGCCAGTTATGGTCTTATTTGGCTTTAAGTATATCCAAATTTATTCTCTGCTGAAACAGCTGACCTTGACTCTGTAATGGTGACGGTGACCGGGGTGGCAGTGAGCCACACTCCCACTAGATTGGCATGGTCTGCTCCTTGGGTCGGCCCTGGCCTCTCCACATGTTGGAGGGGAAGCTGCCTCCCTGTATTCACACCTCCTGACCAGTGCCTTGGGCAACCCCACCTGGCCATTCAGCCTTCAAGGACATGTTTTGTAAAACACTGAGATTGGAGCTACAGATTTAGCCACAAGCTACAAAGACCCAGGAGCCGGGAAGGAGAAAAATCTGTTACCAAAAAATGGGCCGGGCTCAGTATTTACCCCTGTAATCCCAGCACTTCGGACGCCAAGGTGGGAGGCTCACGTGAGTCCAGGGGTTTGAGACCAGCCTGGGCAATGTAGAAATGTAGCCCCATCTCTACAAAAAATACAAATATTATCCAGGTGTGGTGGCTATTCGGAATGCTAAGGTAGGAGGGTTGCTTGAGCCCAAGAGGTCAAGGCTGCAGTGAGCCATGACTGTGCCACCACACTTCAGTTTGGAAGACAGGGCAAGACTGTTGAATTAAAAAAAAAAGGACTGTGGTATGGGAGAGTCCACCCCTGTAATCCCAGCACTTTGGGAGGCCGAGGCAGGTAGATCATTGAGGCCAGGAGTTCGAGGCCAGCCTGGCCAATGTGGTGGAACACCGCCTCTACTAGAAATACAAAAATTAGTCAGGTATGGTGTCAGGTGCCTGTAGTCCCAGCTACTTGGGAGGCTGAGGCTCGAGAATCGCTTGAACCCCAGAGGCGGAGGCTGCAGTGAGCCAAGATCATGCCACTGCACTCCAACCTGGGTGGCATAGCAAGACCCTGTCTCAAAAAGGCCAGGGGGAGCTAAAACAGAATCCTTGGTATATGAAGAGTGTGGAGAGTGATGGAGTTTGTCACAGCCGGTTTCACTTCCTCTGGCGATGGAGCAGGTAGCTCTTCACTTTTTCCCAGTATCTCATAATCCTGAAACAACACTGCTGGATGCGTAGGGATCTGACTCCTGTGTAGGAGAGGGGAGCGGTGGGATTGTGTCATGTGCTGTATGTTGGCTGATACTCACCTAGAGACTCTGCTGTCTGCAATCAGGGTACTTCTCGGCTGGGTGTGGCGGCTCACACCTGTAATCCCAACACTTTGGGAGGCTGAGGCAGGCGGATCACAAGGTCAGGAGTTTGAGACCAGCCTGGCCAACATGGCGAAACTCCGTCTCTACTAAAAATACAAAAATTAGCTAGGTGTGGTGGCACACACCTGTAATCCCAGCTACTCAGGAGGCTGAGGCAGGAGAACCGCTTGTACCCAGAGGCGGAGGTTTCAGTGAACCGAGATAGCACCACTGCGCTCCAGCCTGGGTAACAGAGCAAGACTCCATCTCAAAAAAAAAAAGAGGATAGTATTTTATCCCAATTCTGAACAGTTATTTCAGGTACCTTAGAAACCAGTATGATGACAATGACGAAGAAAAAACAGTATGATGATTGACTCTCAAATGAGATAAACTCTAGTCTGAGTGTCTTATTTGCTGGGGAGACGTCCAGTGTTTTCTTAATTCTGGGTGATTAACAGACTCCTTTGTACAACAGGGACCCATCAGCCAGACAGTTATTAGGACAAGAGGCGATGACTTCCTGCTTTTGCATGAGAGGAATTGTTTAGCCCAACCGTGCTGTAGGAAGCTGAGATACTTCAAACCCAGGAGACTAATACCCATACCGTATGGCTGCTTTCAGCAGGGATCAGCCCCCTCTGGCTTTGCCTAATTTTTTTCTTTTTTTTGAGACAGAGTCTCACTCTGTCACCAGGCGCCATGCTGGAGTGCAGTGGTGTGACCTTGGCTCACTGCAACCTCTGCCTCCTGGGTTCAAGCAATTCTCCTGCCTCAGCCTCCCGAGTAGCTGGGACCACAGGCGCGTGCCACCGTGCCCAGCTAATTTTTTTGTATTTTTAGTAGAGACGAAGTTTCACCATGTTGGACAAGATGGCCTCAATCTCTTGACTTTGTGATCCACCCGCCTCGGCCTCCCAAAGTGCTGGGATTACAGGCGTGAGCCACCGCGCCCAGCCTGCCTAATTTTTAAATTATTTTTTGAGACAGGATCTCATTCTGCCACCCAGCCTGGAGTGCAGTGGTGCTTTCACAATTCACTGCCGCCTCGATCTCCCAGATTCAAGTGATTCTCCCACCTCAGCCTCACCAACAGCTCAGACCACAGGCATGCACTGCCACACGCAGCTAACTTTTTCATCTTTTCATAGAGACGAGGGTCTCACTGTGTTGCCCAGGCTGGTCTTTACCTTCTGGGCCCAAATGGCCCTACCACCTCAGCCTCCCAAAGTGCTGCAGTTATAGGCATGAGCTACCGTGCCCCACTGGCTTTGCCTTATTTATCAAGGCTGTTTTGTTCCAAAGCCTCATCATCCTCTCTCATTTTCCTGCTATGACTTTGTCTGACTGTTCACCTCACTTAATTACTTCTAATTAGGATAGGTGTGGTGGCTCACACCTGTCATCCCAGCAGGAGAGGTTGAGGTAGGAGGGTCATTGAACCTAGGAGCTGGAGACCAGCCTAGGCAACATAGACTTCATCTCAATAAAAATTAAATAATTAGCTGGGCATGGTGGCACATACTCGTATTCTCAGCTACTTTAGGAGGCTGAGGTAGGAGGATCACTTGAGTGAGCCCAGGAATTCGAGGCTGTGGTGAGCTGTGATTGCACCACTGCCCTCCAGCCTGGCAATAGAGTGAGACTTGGTATTTTAAAAAAGTGCTAAATTTTTAAGTCTTTTGCTTTTGTTTTTACCCCTTTGCCTTTATCTAATTTTAAATCATTCATTGTTTTTCTCTTTGTGTTTTGAAAATTTTTAAACCAGGCTAGGCACGGTGGCTCACACCTGTAATCCCAGCCCTTTGGGAAGCCTAGGTGAGCAGATCACTTGAGGTCAGGAGTTCAAGATCAGCCTGGCCAACATGTTGAAACCCCACCTCTACTAAAAATCCAAAACTTAGCTGAACATGGTTGTATGTGCCTCTAGTCCCAGCTACTCAGGATGCTGAGGTAGGAGAATTGCTTGAACCTGGGAGGCGGCGGTTGCAGTGAGCTATTACTCCACTCCACTCCAGCCTGGAAGACAGAACGAGACCCCACTCTGAAACAAAAAACAATAATTTTTTTTTTTAGATACCTAAACTGGAACTGGGTAATTTATAAGAAAATTTAAAAAAAAATTTTAACCTACAGAAAATGTAAGTGTGCTACTGTGAATACCCTTATATTTTTCACCTAGGTTTACCAGTTGTTAAAATGTTAGCCACATTTGCTTTCTCTTTCTCTAGATACACAC